CAAGTATCCTTTTGACTACGAAGTTTGCAATGATGGAAGAAACCACCAATGCGTCGTCATGGGGGACTACTACCCCCTTCAGGTCCTCATCCGTGAAGGAGAGGGGTTCTTGCTTCTACTTCTTGGAGGTCGGCCCTTGGATGTTTAGCTATTTGGCATAGGCTTTGCGAGCCGAGGCTGAGGCTCCACCCGAGGCCATGCCTCCCACTATGACGTTGATGACACCTACTGCTTGTTGGTGCTGCTACTGCTGAGAGAACGAGGCGCCGGCCTCGCCTCCGACATACTGATTGAGGTGGCCCCGATGAATGAGGAACTCTATCTCATTTTTGAGATCATAACAATCCTCGGTGTTGTGGCTGGTACCTTGTTGGAACTTGCAATATTTTTTGGAGTTCCCCTGCGGGGGTTCTTCTTCAACTTTTCAGGAAATTTCTTCTGCCCGATATGCATTAGAATCTGTGTGCATGTGGAGTTGAGTGGCGTGTACTAGTTGTAAGCCAAGGCCGAAGCCAGTGGCTTCCTACTGTTATTGTTGTTGTTGCAGCCCTGGTCCCCGTTCTTCCTCTTCTTCTCAGGGGCTCTGTCCCAGTGCACTGTGCCTCGCTCATGGGCGTTTGTAGTCGAAGCCTCTTCGACGGAAATGTATTTCTAGGCCCTTTCCAGGAACTCCAGCTTCGTCTTTGGCAGCACTTGAGGGCCGAGTTAGGGAGGAGCCCGCTGATGGCAACATGCATAGAGACCAGGGGATCGAGGTCACGGACCTCGAGTTCTTCTTTCTTGAAGCGGTCGATGTATGACCGTAGGCTCTCTCTTCGCTTCTGCTTGATAGTCATCAGCGAGACAACGCTTTTCTAGGGGCGCCAACTACTGATGAAGCGGGTGAGGAACATGCTGAAAAACTGCTCCCATGAGGTGATGGATCGAGGAGGGAGGCTAGAAAACCACCGCCGAGCGGCTCCCTTGAAGGTCACTTGGAAAGTCCGGCACGTCAAGGCGTCGGAGTATCTGTACAAGATCAAGAGTGCCCTGAAGCTCTCAAGAGGCTCGGCGACGATATCAGGGGAGAAGGCATCCATTCTCACTAGGCAATTGCTTTGCCCGGCCGAGGTGTCACTTCAACCTTCCTTAACCTATCAGAGCTCGGCTTTGACAGCACCGAGCTCGGCTCTAAGTTCGATGAACATGGGGTCGGGCATGGCATGCGCGCCATCCCGGTCTTCAAGAACAAGGTGGTGCTCGGTGCGGACTCCGGAGTGCTCGGAGTTGTGACTACGTGCTTCGCACTTAGCGCGGCAATCGTTCAAGACGTCCCAGAGGTCAGAGACGTGAGGGGAAGAGGCTCGACGCCGGCCTTCGGCCCTGGATTAGCACTTCGGCGTCAGTGATGCTGCTCGGAGGGCTCACGGCTATCCTTCGATCGTTTTGGCTCCTCCTCCCTTTGACTAGGAGATCTGGAGTTTTCCTCCTTTCGGCTGGGAAGTCTGGTGGTTCGGGAGAGCAGGTCGGCTGGACGACTGCTACCAAACTCTGAGGGCTCGGTCCGCTGCGCGTGGCCAAGGCTGGGGACCGATTAGCTGGTGGACCCATGCCGGCTCGGCTGTGTTGACTCCCCGGTGAGGCGGTCTCCTGCCTGGGGGTAGTTCTACTTGATTCGCCGTGTCAAGTACTCCAGGTGGTCAAGAACGACCTGGAACTATTCATTGGTGACAAGATTTTGTGTATTTCTTGTTCTTCGTACCATGTTGGTTGGTTGGAGCTTGGGGACTTATTAGCTTGTTAAAACTTCAAGGGAATGTCCTAGTGGCACTTCCCACAGACGGCGCTAATTGTTGATGCTCGGAATGGTCGATGACAACAAAGAAATTTCACCCCTAGACTCCAAAGGCTTCAAGGGTTTAGGGTGCTTGTTGCCGAGGCCAAGGTATGCAGGCCGAGGCGGAGAGGGCTCCAAGTACTATAGAAGCTGAGGTGCTGCAAGGCAAAATGTATCAGAGAACCCGGGTGAGAACCCGAGGCAGAGTCTCCAACGGTCAAATTAGTACGGGGTGCGAAGAGGGAAATTAGAATATAGCTTTTGAGATCAGTTCCAAGTCTAGATGCAGATTGTATTCCATCCCCCTTACCTAGAAGGGGCACCCCTATTTATACTTGAGCTGCCTAGAGGTAGGTGGAGACGAACGCCTGAGATGGGAGCCGTACAAGGGTAGTCAGAGAGCTCTGTGAGAACGCATGGGCGCTCTGCAATTGGCTCCGTACGAGAGGAACAAAATAACCTCTGTTGTAGCTGATCTCGTTCCCAAATTTGGCGCTTGTGGGCTGGGCCTCCCAGCCTCAAATGGACTAGGTTGGATAACCCCACATCACCTTCCTTCCTCAGAGCTGATCCCGACTCCTCAGACATTTGATCGTCATCAAATAGCTGTAAAGAAGCTTACCAATTTACAAATTTAATTTAATGAGTGGTTCATGGCTAATGATAATGACTCTATGAGATTATTGATGATTCTGTTAACAAATGAGTGCAGTGAGATGTCAGATGGGTGTGAAATCAGATCCCAACCAGGCTCTCCCTGCTTTGTAACCAAATGCTTGGCACAATGACAAATAGGGTTGAAAGATAATAATTTATAACACACAATGACAAAGCCCAGTGAACAAGTCTAGTGGGGATTGAATGACAAACAATGGCTAACCACTTCTAACGCTATAACCAAAAAAAAAAAAAAAAAAAAAAACTCACAAATGACCTGCAAATCATCTACTTGGTACCATTGTAGCAGCCCCAAAAAGATCCTTAATTTTTTGTGGAATTTATTTTATATTTCTTCGTTTCCTACATTTTTATATGTTATCCTATAATTTCTGTTCTTTTTTTAAATGTATCTTTCTGGTTTTTCTTTATTTTTTATAATTTCTATTATTTTTCTACTTTTTCTATGCTTTTCTATAATTTTTGTTATTTCTCTGTGTATTTCTTTATTTTTTGTAATTTATGTTATTTGTTCATTTTCTGTGTTTTTCCATAATTCTTTTTATATTTTTTTATAATTTATGTTATTATCTATATTTTTCTATTTCTTATAATTTATGTTATATTTTTCTAGAATTGATATATGTTTCACTTAATGAATGGAAAAATAATAGGTTGGATTATGAAGGATTTGGATTGAATCCGACCTATTTAATTTTATATACATGAATCGTTAACGGATTGACAGGTCAAACGAGTTGAGCCGAAGGTCAACCCAAACCCATTTACTTGTCACCCCTACAGCGTGGGAACCAGGGGCCTTCAGTGTTAGGTGCATAGAGAGATTAACAAAGTAAAGCATTTACTGGACCAATTGGAATTGGAATGATAAGCTGAAATTCTGGCTGCCCTACTTTTTGGTTGAAGGGACGAAGTCATAGGTTGTAGGCTGAGAAAAGAATTCATCATGATCCTTCCTACTTTTTCCTTCATTTTCCTACTTTTTCTTTCAAACAAAATAAAGCCTTAAGGTTTATGTTACTTTTGAGGCAGTTATGAAGCCTTTTGAGGGTTGATAATATTTTCTTACTGCGAGGAAAAAATGTTTTCACATCGCTACACTTAGATTTTTTGTTAAGCTACTTTAAGGTGTTGTCCTTGTCAGATTCAAAGTATTGATAGACATTATACACAGAATTCGTGTATCATGGCTTTTCAAACAGGGATACTCACTTTTTTTAGGGTCAGTATTTAAGAAATAAATATATTAGGAGGGATTCAAATGTTTAAATAAAAACCCCTTAAATCTTAGATTTGGCGTTTCGGTGCATAGTGATTACTTTGAACCATGGGAAAAATTATCTGATGGTCAGTTCAGTTCTTTTTTTTACTTTTATTGCCTTTGGTACGTTTGTGAGCACGTTCTTTCCTGCAGGGCAGGAAAATGCAACAAATGTGAGCATTGAAGTGTTGAAAGCATTTCCTCGGTTGAGATGCAAACCCGAGACACGCAGTGAATTTCAAACATACCAGTGTCACTGTCGTAATCAAGCACAAGTTGGTGTAAATCGGATCAGGCCGCTCGCGGTCCGACAGAAATTCAACCGGCCCAGCCTGGCCCGACATGATAGCTCATGGGTCATTTCAGGCCTAACAAGATGGTTCATGCCATGTTGGACCGGACGGGCTGAAATGGCATGACATGATTCATGCCATACCGCCCGTGGCCCATGTGCCGGCACAGCCCACACCACGGCTCGTCACGGGCGAGTACGGCATGGCCTGCAAGGTCCGTAGCAGGCCACGCTCAACCCATCCAAAAACTAGTTGTTGCCCCCCCTCCCAAGCCCCAAGTCCCCCAACAGCTAATTTCAGCTTTTTGGGAGAATTTTTAACATAAATACCCCCCTACAGCTATGTAACAACTAGTTTATGGGAGCTTTTTGGGTAAAGTCATAAATAACTTTACAATGACCAAAATACTCCCTCCCAACAACTAAAAAACAGTTAATTTTTAGAGTATTTTGGGCAATTGAATTATTTTCAATTCCTATAAATAGCCATATGGCCCCTATCCTCCACCATTCTTCTCATCGCACCAATTCAAGAATCAACATTCAACAATTCTCTTATTCTCTTAATCTCTTCAGTCTTCCCTCTCTCAATCTCTCAGTCTCTCAGACATTCTCTGCAATTTAAGTGAACTCTGATAATCTCATTACTCATATCCTGATACTCTGATTGGTCGATTGTCTAATTCTCCAAGTTAACAATTTGGGAGACTTGGAGCCTTGGACGTTGTTACGTTGAAACTGTTGAAATCAAGTTGGGATTCTGAACCGACAATCCGAGGTAAGTCCAATTAAATTAATTTTATTTTTTTAGAGTTACAAAAAAATGGTCAACTCTTCCCAAAAACCCAAGTTTAGTAGCCTGATTTGGAAAATATTTAAAATAGAGGATGTTGAGGGAAAGGGGAAAAGAGCAGTTTGTCAAGAATATATAAAAGACTTTAGCTATTATAACAAGGGTGATACGGGCCATATGACCAAACAATGTCTCACACATGAGAAGAAAAAATAACCCACAAATTCAATGAATTGTTGAAATAATGGAAAATAAATTTTAAAAATATTGGGAGAAGTCAGAGAACATTTCTTCCTGCCAATCCCGATAGGCCACCATGGCACGTGATTCGTGATCTATTAATCCCTTTGATGTCTACAGGCTACAATTCCATTAGAATCTTGTCTAGTTGTTTTAGTGCAGGACCTACAGGTACCACTGTATCAGGGTTGGCTAGATGCAGTCATGATGCAGAATATAGATTACACATTTACAATTACAAGACAAAGGAGGGCATGATACTATTACATACACCGGATATTTCACCTAAAACGGATGATGAAAGTGTGAATGCTTTCATCATAATGTACATGTAAATTTTGTTTAAATTATAAACTTTAACAAATAACCCACAATTTTTTATTTTTTTCAAATTATTATAAATTTTGTTTTAATTTTATTTAATTTATTTGCTATTAATGTAATTTTGTATTTAATTTATTCCATTTTCATATTTCATTCATCCAAATATGAAATATGAAGTATCCAACCAATGTATATTTCAATATTTGTATGCTTTGTAATTTGTATCATTATTCTTTCAAATTTAAATGAAATAAAATTCCTATTTGAATTGTTTTACACTTTTATTTATTTTTTTTGATTAATTGTAAATTCGTAATCCATAACCATATCCATTCAGTCTAGCCCGGTTCAACCCAAGCCCAAGGCCCACCCTATGGCCCAACCCGGCACAGCCCAAGCCCATGACACAGTTTGCAGGCCGACTCGGCCTAAGCCCGCGGCACGGTACGACACAGCACAGGCCCATACAGGCCTGGGCCGTGGGCTTTGCCAGGCCAACTCCCAGAATTTTCACTGAGGAAGGCAACACGACCCGTGACAACCAACGGGCCAACACAACACAGCCCGGCACGGCACAGGCCCACTTTACACCCCTACCTACGGTGGTCGCATAGACGTAATCTTGCCTCAATTGACTTAAAAAAACAAAGAAAAAAGAAGAAAACATTGCCATTATTGCAAAAAAGAGAATAAACGAAGTGGTGAAAATTTTCCTAGTGGAAGAGGTGGTGGATTAGGGCTGTAGTGGTGACATGGGTCCTGCTGGGCTTACCACCTATGATAAGCCACGCCCAGGCCAAGCTTTGAGCCTATGACATTAATTAATTTATAAATATCTTACAGAGTGCACCCCACACCTCCCCTGGTTGGGATATGCCGTGGGGTGCACTTTGCTGATTGGAAAAATATCTATTTAAAATAAATAAAAATTTATAATCAATAATATATTTAATTTAATAAAACAAAACAACAAATAAATAAATAATCAGGGTCATCACGCAATAGAGTGAAAGAGGGAGAGATGCCTTTTGTCATTATATTTTTGTTTTATATAGTCGAATAATTGTAAACAGTTAAATAATAATTAATTTAATTTAATAAATAAATAAATTTAGTAAAATAAATGAGATAAATAGACAATCAAGTGAGAGAGTAAATATATATAAATATATACATGATTCTCTGTCTTTGCTAGCAATAATAATTTGTTAGATTATTAAATTATTAACTAATTAAATAATTTAGTAAAATAAATAAAACTTTACGTATTATCATTACAAGATTGGTAAAGGCTTTCTCATTATTTTTTTTCAAAATCTTTAAAAAACATGGCTTAGCCCGGTTCGTGGCCCAGCAATAATTACATAATGCATTAATATATATAATTTTATTTTATTATTGCATATATAAACAATTGTGTACATCAAAATTCATAGAAAATAAAAATTTAATATCTTTTTTAATTTTTTGTCTATTTTTTAATTTATGTTAAATTTTTCATTTTTTTTCAAAATTTTTAAAAAACATGGTTTAGCATGATTTGTGGCATGGACTGGCCTAAGACTTGGCCCGTGGCACAGCATGGGCCTCTGCAAGCTCAAGTCGTATATTATATACAATAATTATATAATATATTAATATATATAAACTTTCTTTTCAATATTATTATATTATTTCATTTTATTATTGCATATATAAACAATTGTGTACATCAAAATTCATATAAAATAAAATTATAAAATCTTTTTTTTTTGTTTATTTTTTAATTTATGTTAAAATTTTCATTATTTTATTCAAATTTTTTAAAAAACATAGCATAACCCAATTCGTGGCCCGGCTTGGCCTAAGACTTAGCCTGCAAACTAGGCCAACTTTAACCCGGTTCGTGGCCCGACCTGGCCTAAGACTTGGCCCGCGGACTAGCCTGGCCCACAACACGACACAAGCTCGTGCAGGCTTGAGTCGTATATTATATACAATAATTATATAATATATTAATATATATAATTCTATTTTCAATGTTATTATAACATTTCATTTTATTATAACATATATAAACAATTGTATACATCAAAATTCATATAAAATAAATTTTAAAGATCTTTTTTAATTTTTTATCTATTTTTTAGTTTATGTTAAAATTTTTCAGTTTTTTAAATTTTTTTATTTATTTTTAAAAAACATAGCATAGCTCGGTTCGTGGGTCGATCTGGCCTAAGACTTGACCTATGGACCTGTCTGGCCCGCAGCACGATACAGGTCCGCACGGTCTCGAACCGTATATTATATACAATAATTATATGATGTTAATATATATATATATATATATAATTTTAATTTCAATTTTATTATATTATTTCATTTTATTATTGCATATATAAACAATTGTATACATCAAAATTCATATAAAATAAAATTTTAAGATCTTTTTTAATTTTTTGTTTATTTTTTAATTTATGTTAAATTTTCATGTGGAAAATCTGTAATTTGTTTCAAGTTGGGACCAAATGATATTTTTGGATTGGCTGGCCAATTTATTTTGTTATATTTGGATGGCCAAATATGAGATTCACTTTAATAGCAAGGTAAATCCTGTGGATTGGGTAACAGGAGACTAATCTCTGTTATCAATGACTTTATCTTTGTGAATTTTCATTCAATCCCCAGTACTGCAGGTTTCCAAAGCAAGATATGGAGAAAACCTCTTCAAGAATTTCTTAAAATAAATTGTGGAGGCACTAAAAGTGATACCTTTGGAGATCATATGGTTCGATCATCCATGGAGCCATTGAAGCTAAGCTGAAAACTATTCCATCCGGACATTCTTTTACTAGAAGGGTTGGCTAAATGTTATTGCTGAACTTGAGCTTGCCTCCCTTCTATGTATTAATTTGTCTGGCAAAGCAGTGACTTTACCATGGAACAATCTTTATTTGGACTGTTAAAAATCTTCAGTGGTTAACATGCAATGTCTCTAGATTAGGTAATCAAGCAGCCCATGAAGGTTTTTGGATGGATAATCCTCGAATGTGTGATTCTGTGACGTAGTTGACGTAGACTGTGTAAGTCCTATCTTATAATGAAGGTTTTATTAAAAAAGGATGAGGAAACATATATGAGCATGAGCGAGAGAATGAGGAAAAATTAATGTTACATCAAATGGACAGTAATAATACTTTCGACTTGCTACAGAAGAGAAGACCTAATTCTTGCCTCTCTACTAATTGGTTATATGCTATTTGGTCCTTTGTGTGATGGTTAGGGCACTCCATTGGATCAAGACTTTGGAGCTGCTCTCCCAATTTTCATTTGATTATGTATGGAGAAATTGGAAAATAGTTGCCAAGAGTTATTCTAGAAAGGAAAGAGTGGAGGTTCATTGATTGCCTCCAACTGAAGGTTTTGTAAAACTGAACTTTGATGGAAGCAGTTGAGGTAATCCAAGCCCTTTTGGAATGGGAGAAGTATTGAGAGATGTAGAAGGTAAACTTATAACGTTGTTTTCTGGCCCTGTGGGTATGGGTGACTCTCTTAAAGCAGAATTGCTTGATGCAATACAAGGAGTGCAGATCACTAGTGAGCTAAAGATAGCACCATAGCAAATATAGTGATTGAAGGGGATTCAAAAGTGGTGGTGGGATGGTTAAAGGATCCAGAATCTGTAATTTGGTGCTATAGGAGTGAAATGAAAAAGTTCAAATGGCTTATCAGAAATTCAGAAATATGAACTTGAGGATACAATGGGTGAGGAGATTAGCAAATGAGATGGTGGATGCTTTATTTAGCTAAGTAGGGGATGAGCTTGTTTTTGTTGTTTTATAGAGAGGTAGCATCTCATGCCTCTATAAGGGATGCCTGTAAAGCTTCTTACCTCAAAGTTTTAATAAAATTTAAGTTATTTATAAAAAAGGGCAATAATAAAACATAATGATGATCAATTTTTAGATCTCTGCAACTACAAGGCAACCCAGTATAATATTTAGATTTTGACCTACCAATGTGTGGGTTTGATCAGGCTACAGCAAGTTGTTCGGGTTTGAACTTCTCACACATGTTTTACACTTATCTTTTATTCTGGCTGTATAGTAAAATTGGATACCTCAAATGTAAAATTTAAGGTAAGTTATTAAGGATTTTTTTCTTTCGATTTTTTTGTTTATTTTAATATAAGTGTTAGATATATATCATTGTTTATTTCACTTTTTATATCTCATAATTACGTAAAACTATAAATCAATTGTTAAATGATATTTTACCTCACTTCTACCAGAGGCATGATACATGCCTGATGCCTCATTAGTAATATTAAAGATGTTTAAGTCATTGTAGAGAACACTGATGTGGTCCCCACTACGGTACTCGTATGACTATTAGTCAGCAATTAGTTATTAGTTGGTAGCTATTTTTAGTCAAGTCTTTGAGTCAGTCTTTAATTATTAGTCTTTTATTTTTTTTTGCCATGTAAGCAGTAAGGGTATTTCAGCCCTTTTATCTTTATTTGAAGATTAATATAAATAGTAAGAGAGGAGTGGCGGATCAATTAATCCTCTCTTTTCTAATCTCCCCTTCCATCTCTTCTTCTCCTCTCCTCTCTTCTCTTATCCTCTTCTTCTTTCCAATTTTTCTTTGTTAATTGAACACTAAAACTAGGCCTGATTGTAGTCTTATTCGACTACATGGTATCAGAGCCAACCTACGAGTTCTTGTGGTAGTCTAATATGGCCGACTACATAAGAACTTCCTAGGATTGGAAGCTTTCAGCAAAGCAAGACCATCGATTGAGTCTTGGAGATTGTTGGCAGTGTGTGGCTAGCATTGGACGATGACCAGCAATCAGGAAG